AATGTACGTCTCGCCGTCAGACGACGTCGGCCGAAGCCCCTCTCCGTTCAGGTTGGCGTACGTCTGTATACGAATCTCTCCTGGGTTATGGCGAAGATCGAACTCACACAATGGCTCTGAAAATGTCATTTACGTCACGTCACGCCATTTGTGCACTTTGACCCTGCCGTGGGAAACGACTGGAAGTCAACAAACAACCTTCCCTGCGAAGGTGTTGTCTGATAAGTCGGCCGTCTCCGTCTCAGTTGTCTCCCACTCATTGTTATCAACTAAAACAGCTCACCGTCCACGAGGTATCTCCGTACAAAGATGTCGGACAACTTTTGGTTTCCGATCAGTCTCTTGAACTCGTTGTTCGAGAATGCATCGTCTGACGGAATGAACGCCGTCAACAGTTTTTCGTCGGTCAGCGATCCGTTCAGAGAGCTCTGTCGCCATAGCCTGAGCAAGATGGTTAACGAGTGCGGCATGTTAGACGACTAAGCCTGTCAAACAACCTGTAGAACTTGCTCAGATCGCTTCGCTTTGCTAAGAAGGTGTCAAAGTTGTCCGTGACCACAGCGAGGGGCTGAAATGAGCCGAAATGAGTTGTGCGATAATCTCCTTAATAACTACATTCAAATTTTGAATTTTTTACAGTGTTCAATCGTACTTTTTCTAATAGTTTATTGCCAACTATAAAAATTATGCTCATTCAACGCTTTTTCCTCCCTTCCTTACTGAAGAGCACGGAGGGAGGGTATTTTCTTGGCTTCCGTCTAAGGGCACGTGCGAAACGGAAGTCGAACTAATTCTTTGATTATTCCCCCTAAAAATTTCTAATTTCTATGTTTTTACTCAAACCTAACTATTTTTTGGGATGCAGCAAGTCTTCGACACTTTGAACAGGTGCAGATTTCTAATTGCTTTGGCTATTGTCCACTGTAGTGTGTCTTCCGTGGTTTCAGCAGAAGGGCATATACAGGGGGAGGGTGGAAGAAAAGAGTCACTTTGCCCATGGCTCAAATTAAACACCTTTTCGTCGTACAGGGTGCAGCCATTGACGAAAGTTTAGGGCAAAACATTCCCTAGATGTCCTCCCCCCATACGCAGGAGCAGGCCCTCCTTCACTGCCCACACCTTCCTCAGAATATAATTCATCTGCTATCGCCGTCGAGCCTACCGTAATCGGTCCATTCTGAAGCTGCTGCATTCTTCAATCGGTTTACTAGTGGATAGGTTTCTAAAGGCTGTAGCTCTGCCTATGCAAGTCCCCTTCAGCCCAGCTTTTTAGATCCTTCTTAAGGGTCCCGTGGAGAACCGCGAAGGGCTCGAAGCGCGCGCCATGTTTCCGTGAAAAAAAATTTTCGTATGTGTTCGGT